TGGGGAAAGTATAGAGCATTGAAGATGAATGCTCTATATTATAGGTTAAATTGATTTTATAAAAGTCTAACAATGGGAATGCGTGATATGAGGAAGAAAATCATTCAAAGATTTTAAATTGAGTAATATTTAACTTTTATTTAAGGAATAAACTTGCAAATCACAATCAAATCTTAACAAAAATTTTAAAAACAAAATTTTCTTAATTACTCATATAAGAAAATGCATTTGATTTTTTTTTGTCTAATATTTGTCGAACAAAATCAAAATTTAAAAATATTAATTGATGCATAAAAGGTTACAAATGCATTAAAAGTTAAAATTTTGATCAGTTGGAACAATAAGTTGGTTCCTATTATTTTGATAGGTTATAACTATTTTTTATTTTTTATATGTAAATTAAGATCTATTTAAAATAAATGAAGAGATTTAGTTAGATATTGTACTTAAGAAATGGATAAGTATTCGTTTTTTTCATTTTCTTTTGTTTGTTTTTTATTAATTTAATTACTTTTATTTTGATTTGAATATTTGTAAGATTTAATTATTTTAATTATTTTAATTAGTTCAAATTTAATCCATATCATTTTTTTTTATAAGTTATGTTATCTTTTTGAGCCAATAACATCAAAACAAATAAGCAAACTTAATAAATCTAATTCTCTTTTAACAGGATGGGGATTCAAACGGACATTAAATTTTAAATGAAAATCCATAATATTGGGTTTTACCATAATATTATATACCATGAGAATCTTCCTACTACTAGAGAGATTTATACCACGGTCGTTAATATACCAGCATTTCATTTTATTTTTTATAAGTCCTTCTAATTTTGGTGTTTGAAAAAAAAAATCGGTAAAAAGAAAAGATAGTGTGAGAAGAACAGTGACAAGCAAAAGTCAAATAAACTGTTTTTAGAAAATATATACAAAATGACTAAATTATTTTTAAAAATATACTATTTTTCAGTATGATAACATGACATAATTTATGCATTATCTTCGTTATTTATTAGAATTATCCACGTACAAACACATCTCCGAATTACGATTTTGTCACTCATTTTCTTACAAATTTTGGAACAAAATTTAGCTATCTAGCTGATTAATCATTATATATATGTTTTTTTTATGTTATAATTTTTTGTTTAAACGTAGTATAGATTAAAAAATTCTTTATTGAAAAATTATCTAATGATTGCCTTTGAACGTACAAACATATATACAATCCTAAAGATAAAAACGTAGGTGGTGTAGGACTAAGGAAATGAAGGATTCACGGTATGGAGTACTTGCTTATCTTCGATTC